TTTATAACTCAGACACACTACTGCGCCCGGGGGAGCAACAGAGGAGAGAGATCAGGGAAATGGACTGAACGCTGGTGTTTGTGTGCTGTAGAAATTAAAGATTAATGGCATAATAAAGTCATTTTTCATCTTAAAGTCCTACAAAGTCTAGGCCTCGGAGGACTGGATACTCTTGTATTAATATTCACAACTCACTGCTGTGAGCTTTTATCACAGGCTAGCTGTAATAAAAGTCAGCAGCTATTTTTCTTAAAGGTGTGCAGAGCTGTCCCAACCATTAACAGTACGACTTCTACTTTACTCCATCAGTTGTGGAACACTGTTTAAGGCACTAATAAGAAGCTTTCACACATCAAAACATTATATGTTACTAATCGGAGTGTACGAAAAAAGACCAAATTACTGACTTTTAGTTCTTTTCAGTCACATTTTATTTTAAAATGTAAAACAAGAGTCCAAGCTCTTTAATCATTAGTTATTATTAATCTCTGGTTCTCATGTCCTGTCTTTCTCCCTTCATCCTTAACTGATTATACCAGATGGCTGCTTCTTCCTGAGCCTGGTTCTGCTGGAGGTTTCTTCCTATTAAAAGGGAGTTTTTTCTTTCCACTGTCGCCAAGTACTTGCTCATAGGGTGCCGTCTGATTTTGGGGGTTTTCTGTCTATTACTGTAGTGTCGTTACCTTACAGTATAAATCATCTAGAGGTGACAGTTTTTGTGATTTGCTGCTATGTAAATAAAATTGAATTTAACTGAATGAGGACTGGGGCATTGTCTCTCGCCTACCTTTGCTTTCCAAGGTAGGAGAACGAACCAATCATCTGATCTCATAATCCAAATGGAGAGAGATGTTGCAGCCCCCTACTTGCCGATCGCCTGCTTTACTGGCGTCAGCCTGGCCTGTTGCCTTTTAATGCGCCATCTGCTTACAGTCATTGGTCAGATTAGGCTAAGTGTGGTATTACTCATAAAGATTATCTTAGCCTGACATTCTATCTTAATGGCTTCCTTGTTCTGAGACTTTGGACAAATGACCCCAGATTACAGGTGATCGCTGATCAGAGTTGACGTCAGCCTGGATGGAGATGAGAGACGAAAACTTCAAACCATCTGCTGTTTGAGAGATTATTTTGATAGTGCAGGTTCAGTAATCATTTGCAGATGTCATAGTTGTTTGTGTTTTTTTCCCCACTGTAAATCCTCTGCAGGCTGCTCCCTGTTAATCCCATCCTAGAAACTGTGCACGTGCTTTTGTAAAATGAAAATAGGTTGTAGCGTACAGTGGCTATGATGCAATATTTCATATTCAGACTCATTCATCAGTAGGATAAATGTGTCGGAGCTCCCTCTGTTGGCCTCTGTAGTTAAACTATCTAGGACAGGCATAGTATGCCTCTATATTTCATTATGATGCCATATTTTCCTCTTCCTTCTCTGTTCCTAGTATAGATCAAAACACAGCGTTACCTTATTAGAAAAGACACTTTGTAAAAGTTGTGCCTTTTTCATTATCCATTTTCTTTGGTGATAATTAGTTTGTCACTCATAATTGCTATGAAGCATCCAACAGATTAAGATAAAGATTATTGCTACTGCTACTTTACGCTGTTCTTTCCCTTTTTGTTGGGGGGGAAGTAGGTTCTTTGTTGGCCAAAATGCTAAAAGCAAATCACAAATCTGCCCGATGCTGAAACCCGTGCAGAGCTGAGAGTGGAAAAAAAATCGCTGGATCAGGAGCAGAAAACAAAGATGTAATGAATTTAGAGGTTTAGCTTTGGGGGTGTATGACAGTCAAGATTTGATGGAGGGAGTGTGCAGCAGCTAATCCTTTAAGGCTAATCAAACAGCAGCTTGGAGACCATCAGCCTGCCTCTAGTCCTCCCTCCCTTCTTCTTTCCCCCCCATCTCATTCCATGTCTCCTTATTTCTCTCTTTAGTGACGATGCCAGATTTACTCTTTTTGCAAAAAACGGACGATTGCTCGTCTCAATTTACAATTTAAAATTTATTCTTTTGAGCCGGATTCTGTTTTTGTGTCGGTTTTAACCCTGCTCCCCGTTTCTCCCGGCGGCTCTCCCTCCAGCGCTCTGAAAGCTGTTTAGACAGACTGCGTTGGATTCGGTTGGAAGCAGCGACACAGCTGGCTGTCTGAAAAGCAGCATCTTCCTGCCTCACGCTGCAGAGTTTCTGTCTCCAGGCAGTCATCTCAGCCTGCGAGAGGCTGCTATTAACTGCTGCTCTCTTTGTCTCCGCTCGTCCCCATATTCCCGACTGCTCTCCCACACCCTGCTCATCTTCTTTCTACGTTTCATCAGCTGCTATGTAGCACAGGAGCTGCTGCTGATATGGTTGCATTAACACAGTGGGCATTCCCCGGTGATTATTATTCATCTTATTAATTTCCATGATATCCACATTTAATTATATAAATTCTGTCGGTGTTTGATCGAATAGATGCCAGTGGAATAAATTAGAATAATGATGGCCAATAAGGACATTTACTGGATTAAATAATAGAGCAAAAGTAAATAGAAATTGATCATGTTTTTCCTAATGAGCTTTGAACAAAAGGATGCTGATGCAACAGCTGCTTACCTCTGTGTAGATCTACAGTGTGCATTTATAGCATTTCACGTATCATAATATACTTCACTCAGTCAGCTGTGGGGGCCTTTTTAGGTTGTGTGTGTATTTTCAACAGCGTGGATCCAGACAGCTTTTCTTCTTCCGTATTCGTGGAACATATGGCGCGAGCAACCTCTAGTTACCATAGCAACACTGTGTTTGCAGTTGCATGAAAAATGCTATCCACAAGGACATAAACAGAGCTCTGAAATGAGCCCTAATTACTTTGTTATTGCCTTTTTGCTTTATTTGCATACATCTGGAAAGTAGAAGCTTTTGAGATTTTTTTTTTTTTATTTAAAAACATTAACTAAGCGGCTAAATTTCTTTTTTTATCGATGAATTAACTGAGTGGCTTTATTTTGTACAGTAAACCTAGATCGGTGGTCTGTAAGCTTATTTGCTCTTTGCATATTACTACCTGTAAGTGGGTCCTTGTCCTTGAAGCTGTCTGTGTCACTGCCTGCCTGACCACCTGAATGTACAAAGCAGTTACTAGTGACTGATCCAGATGGATTTGTAGGCATACCCGTCTTATCCTGCTGGGACACACTAGGCCCTCACAGAGATTACAGCTCTGTCTCACATCTAGACCATGTGCTGTCTCATCTGGCATCACAGCACCTTTGCAGAGTTAAGATAAAAAAACAAGTATTAATTACGCCCACCTAATATTTGATATGCTGTTGGTGTATTAACATTCATGTTTTAGATGCATGCGATATTGTTACAGCAGTATCTGCTGTTGCTGTAATGTAATGCTACATTACTGCTAGCTTGCTTGGTTTCTATTATTGACCACATTGAAGGCTTAAGTGGTGTCCCATGTACCCTTCTCATTCATGGTACACATTTATTTGAGCCATTGAAAGCTTTGGAATTTGCCTGGGGGGTAAATCTCTGTGTGTCTTTGCTTGAAGAAAAGCAAAATTTGTTGAATTCAGGCAGGAATGGACAGTATGAATAGAAAAAGATTAAAGGGTGCTGTAACATATATTACATGCCAGTTGAAATGGTGTTATTGCAGTACAGTATAATATACAATCCAAGAGAATGAGGTTTAACTGGCTGGTGTGTTTTAGACCTGTGCAGTGTGGTTATAGCAAAGATTTTCAGGAAAAAAGGAGGAAGGGGTAGAGGGATGGAGGAGTGAGAGAGCGAGAGAGAGCGAGAGAGAATATAGTGTACTGCTGGAGGTGGGCTTCTGCAGGCGGTCGCATTTAGATTGGGAGACAGCATTTCCTACTGAACAGGAGTGGAGACAAACTGATATGGCTACAGATGACAAAGAAGAGCAGCATGAAAGGACTGTAGATTAGAGACAAAGAGATCTGGATACTAGACGACAGAGAGAAGGAGACAAGGCAGAGGGAAGGCTGCATCCAGGATCCTATCTGTGGGCTCCTACCTGTGTGTCAGGCAGTAGCTCTGGTGCGGAGAGGTGCAGCCCACCAGCAACCATGGCAGTGAGTGCGTGGCAGGCTCTGTCTCCACTGCAGTGGGCTCGATGGGGCTGGGACACTCTGCTGGGTGGGGCAGGAGACGGGAACAGCCCAGACGCTGATCCGGCTCTGGGGCTCCTTCGCCGTCTCTCCTGGGGCTCACGTCATGACAGCATGATCAGGGCTGCCGGGGAACCGGTCAGACAGAGGTGAGACAGGATGGGGGACCGGAATCATATACCGTCAGATAATCCATTGATCAGCATAGCATTAAGCTGGGTAGCCAGGCTATGTTTCCAGCTTCGCTGCCACTTGTGTACTTGAGTGTGTTTTGCTGAGAATGATCAGATGTACAGACTTTATTTGCACGCAGAAAGCTTTAATTTCTCATTGTTTTAATTCAGGTGTTTCCGTATTTCCTGTGTATTTCCTGTATTTTATAGCTGTCATATCTCATCAAGGCTCTTGAGGCTTTCTGGTATATTTGAGTCTTAGTGTGTGCTGTGTAAGGTAATGCTTTGTCTCAGGCGTGTCGTTATCTGTCACCTCACTGCAGATTCAGCATTCTCATTGGAGCACCTAGAAATGAAAACATAAACTCATCATAGCCTGGAGCTTTTTAAATTTTTTAAACCATCACACATGACAGGAAATACTCTTACTGCCATTCCCACATGATGTACTGCAAGCGTGTAATAAACTGTGTAGCCTCTGATTAAAAATACCTCCAACATACCGTGACATAAAGAATAACATTAGAGCTGCACGACTGGAAAATAATTCTGTCCTTCGTGATGATATTATCTTTCACCTTTTTCTTGAGATGGATGGATATTTATGTTAATGAGCCTGATATGGGTCGTTATAGTCCAGTGGGTATCGGCCTGCTTCACAGCACCTTTCACTTAATGTTTCCTCATCTTTTATTGTAGGAGCTCAGACTCTGATGGCGCTTTTGAGACCCCTGAATCTACAACTCCAGTGAAGGCTGTTTCTCCAGCTGAGCCTCAGATAAAGCAAACAACATCTGACGAGAAAGGTACAGCAGGACAATTATTTCATGATCTTTGCTTAGTTTTATACCGATTTAAGCTGTTTCACTATTGAAAAAGTGTTGTTACTGGATGGATTGTTACACCACCTAGTGGAATGAAGTTGTAATTTAAATCTGGCTTCTTTTTTTTTTGCCGTGTCAGCCTACAGCGCTCAGAGCTACATCTCTGGGGACACTTTATTCTCTTTTATGTGTTTTTTTCATGCCTTTTTGTCCAGTTGGGACATTCATTGAATTATTTATAACACATCCATCTCTAGAGTTTAAAGTGTCACACAAAGACACTCACAGAGCAGTTAAATTCTACCATAGTCTACAGTACTGTGCAAAACTTCACCCCTCATTTCTTTATATTTTTCAGAAAAGCAGGAAATAGGTCCAGCAGTTTATTAAAATATGTGCAAATACAGATGGGAATAAATAAAGTTTTTACAATTCTACTGAGCTTAGTCAATATTTGGTATGACCATCTTTATTTTTCAACACAGCCTGAACTCTCTTAGCAAAGCTTTTGTGCTGAAAAATGAAGCTGTTGCCATTCAGATGCTTACCAGATGGTACTGTATGGTGGATCAAAATCTGACCATATTTTTCTGTATTCATAAATCCCATCAATTTTGACAAGATTATCAAGAAAAGGCTAAAACGCCTCCCCATAAAATGATAGGGTCTTCACTGTACTTTATTCTTTGGCAATCACCTTGCAAAAATATGATTTCATGCCTGTCTAACTGTATCTTTGCTATTTTTCACTGATTCGGAAAAAAAAACAAGCAAGAAAAAAAAAGCATGTTTTGTTCGACTGAATGGTTGGATTAGTTAGACTCTAGAAATCTTTGTCTTATGTTCCACATCTTTCAATCTCCTTTTGCAGTAGAAGACACCTCAATCACTGATCCTACATCTGACTTCACTGCAGCCGAACTACCATGCCATTCTGCGTCAAATACTTTTGATGAAAACAAGCCCATCGCTGCCAGTGGTACATATAACATTGACTTTTTTGCTGCAGAATCAACGACTCACACTCTAACCCGTTCTCTGAGCCTCCAGGGAGGAGAACTAGATAGTTCTGCTCTGTTGGACGGATCACCTTCAGGAGGTTTCCGTCCACACTCCGAGTCTTTCAGTGTAGGCACTGAGAGTGCCCCAGGGACACTCCGCAGGCCCAAGAAAGGTCGTCCTGGGTCTGTAAAGAAAAAGCCTCTTCTCAGACAGAACTCTAACCCAGAGAGCCCAAGGCCAGACTCATCCAGCAGCACCCCAGAAATTAAGAAGCGGGCGAAACCTCGAACAGCCAGCCCTCTCCAGGCTCAGGAGGAAACTGAAGGAGGCTCTGCAACACCGAGTCCTGGAGGAACGCAGCGAAAAGCCAGAAAGACCCGTGTTGAGACTCCTCCTCCCCTGCCAGAGGAGACCAATCATACCACCCAAGAGGAGAGCCTTATTGTTGCTGCCTTACCTTTATGCCAGGAGGAGATACCCCTCCCTGAAAGTCAAGCAGACAAAGAAGAAACCCCCATCCCTCCCAGTGGCTCCTACAAATGGGATCCAGACAACTTTGAGAACATCAACCCCTTTAAAACCGGAGGTAGTAAAATTGCCAATTCCCCTGTTTTGGGTCGTAAGGAGCCTGTGTGTGCCCCCATTTCCACCCCTCTAGAGAGTCCCCCCGTCCCATCTGAGGAACCACATCACCCCAGTCCACCCGCTCCTATTAGAGAGCCAGTCACGAATCCTGAGGAGCAGCCCATTATACCCAAGCGTCAGTCACTAAGACTGGAGTTTGACTACTCCGAGGAGAGTGGTGAGGCATCACATCAGGCCTCTCCTCCACCTAAGAAGCTAGGCAAGAAGCCAGGTGCCAAGATGCCTCTGAGGAAACCAAAGCTGGGGCTGAAAAAGGCGCCTCCAGCACAGACAGAGCAGCTGGACAACATTCCTCCGGCAACTCACAACAGCAACGAGGATGAAATCCCGGCAACTAAAGCATCTTACACCTTTGAACTCGACAAGTATGAAGATCCAAACTTGAATCCATTTACTTCAAGGAAAAGTATCACCAACTCCCCCAAACTATCCAGGCCGCCTTATAACTTTGATGACTCCATAGACCCTTTCAAAAGCTCCAACAAGTTGGCCAATTCCCCTCCTAAGACTTCTGCCTCATTTGAACTGTCATCCAATGACAATGATACTGAAAATGACAACCTCGGGGAATTAGAGGACCAGAACCAGAACAAACCTGCCAAGAAGAAGAAAACTCCCATCAAATCGTAAGTTCACTCTGTATTACCAGAGGATTGTCTATTCACAGAAAAGTCTGCATCAGTCTGTGAGGATTTTAGGTTAGTCTGTGTTTATATGTGGTTCTCTAGCCAGTTTTGCCAGTGTCCTCTGTCTGTCTGTCTGTCTGTCTGTCTGTCTGTCTGTCTGTCACCTGTGTCTGTGTATTCTCATATGTCACAGGAAGTCCAGGGGTGTGTCTTCTCTATGTTGTTTTTTGTAAGTACAGGGACAACACAGCCATCCACCCTTTTGCCCTCTAATTCAATCTGGCCCTCTTTGAACCAGCATGTTGCCCTGTTGTCCCTATTAACAGAAACATCAAAATCATTTGTGCTCGCTATTAAATCACTGAAACTCATTAGAAACGTACCCATTTTAACTGGAGTATCCATGCCAGTTTAAATCACCCATAATCCCTCCAATAGAAGATCCCGTTAGTAAATTAATGCTATATTTCTATTGACTTATGGATGGATAGTGGTGAAAAACTCTTTTGTTTTTTGTTATTTTGCTTTCCTTTTTTACACTGAAGTATCTGCAATAATTTTGTTCATCTGTATCCAGTTGTAAGCGTTTAACAAAGGAGGTGCTGGTGCCCCCTCTGGTGTTCATTGTTTGCTATTGAGGAAAGAACGAACGCTACAGTGTATCAGCGTGTGCCAGGATCACATACAGTTTGAAACAGGCTGGACCAGAAGCTACATTTCTTTTAATGCAGTGAACTACAACTTAGTGATAATATTTAATGAAGGACCCAGATATCATAAAAACATGTACAATGTCAACAGTATGTTTTATTGCATGTGAATTACAGCAAATTTGGCTCAGGCCACATATCTGATACTACTGCTATTTAATATATTTTTACAGGGATACATAACCCTTTTATTAATTCAGGCATGCATTACACATTAAACACTGAGCATAAAAACAACAGGGTCTATGCAGTCCTGTGAAAAACTAAGTACATCATTACTGCTTTGATAGGAATTAAGGGGGTAAGTAGTAGCCAGGTGCTGCTAATGCACCTGATTAACCGATCATGAGCAAGTGAGAGCACTGAAGCAGCACTGTAAAGAAAGGTTGGTCAAAATTCCTCCACAACAATGTGAGAGACTGATAAAATCTGAGAAAAAAGAAAACTGCATAGAGCCGTGTGAAAACTTGTTGTTGCACGTGACTGTATGTATTTACAGTGTAAGTAAGTGTAAAATTGGATAATTCCTTCTAAAGGTTGTTGCAAAGTTCTAATAATTAAGCTACAGTATTGTTTACCTCATCATCATGATCACTAAACCTGGAAAACCAAGCTGCTCATAACATAATATTAATTTTCCATTACTCTTCACTGTCCAGTTACTAACTATAGATTCAGCCCTCTTCAGAAGCATTTACTGTTCTATCCATTTCAGCCACACACAGTAAGCAGCACTGTTGCACATGTGGAAATGAACTATGCAAATTATTGTTTTTTGCAATGATAATTTTATGCAAAATCCAGTCTTTCCAACTAGCTCATATTTTAGCATCTACGACTACACAAATGCTATATAAATGTGCAGCAAATGCAGAATTAAATACAGATAATGATTGACTCTAGAGTTTGACGGTGGATCTTTTTATATCCCCTCAGTAATACTTTCAGAGTGAAGAGGTCGCCAAAGAAATCACCCTTATCTGACCCATCACAGGTATGTATCTGATATGCAATCTCGCTTGGCTCTCCCGCTTTATCTATGTGCATTTCTCCCTCTTTCATGTGTCATCACTCTCTGCCGCCTTTTTTTTGTGTCGCAGGATCTTATACCCGCAGATGAACCTTCCTCCCTTCACCAGCAGGATGACCATGCCACAGATGAGGAGAAACTAGCCTCCTCCACCAGTCATAAGTGGGCAGCCCTGCACGACATGGATGGAGATTTAAACTCTGACCAGCAAGACTTTCCTCAACCGTGCGACCTTACATCCTTTGTTAATGAGAACAGCCTTCCTAAGGAGACTCCAGGTGAGGCATAACTGTCTGACTCTCTGTAACTCTCGGTAATTCAGAGCTTATGTCTGGATAAATCCTTACATACTGTATATGAATCAGAAACTTTACCTTTTATTCATACTGCTGTGTTATTGATTTTTCTTGTGGCAGCGATATAAGTCTGCTGGCCCAATTCTGTACTACCCTCTGACCTTACGCAAGAGCCAACGCTTCCCAGAGGCTATCTGGTTCACCCCATCTGGGTCAGAGATGGGAAAACAAACAGCCCTGCTTCGTCCTCTGAACTTGTCAAACCAGAGCTCAGCACACCACTGATGCGTCTCTTCATTTTGTTTACTGTATCTAATGCTTTGTTTTGCCTTTCCCTCTCAGTACAAGACTATGAAATTGAGTACATGGAGAAGATTGGCTCCTCTTCCCCAGTGAGTATTTAATATTACAGACAGATTGTATTTGAGCTTGTCTTATGGTCACTACTTTTAGTATTTATAGCATTTATTTTACATTGTTTGTGTGCTATATGATATTTTAGCCTTTAAAAGTAGATAGTCTTCGTTCTTGTTTTTAACCTTGTGTGTCTTTTAGCCTCCGTCTGCAAAGAAGCCATCTTTGTACTTGAAGTTGGACTCGGTATCTGACAACTTAACCAAAAATACATGTGCGCATGGATCTGAACCCAGCTCCCCCTGCACAGGGTAAAATAGTTTACTTGCTACGCTTGCAACTTTGTTTCTTTGCTGTACTACGTAATGGTTTTGTTAACGTATACTACGTGAGTTTTACACTGCATTTTTAAGTCCCTTTCTTATTCTCGTGTGTGCTAAGTGTACACCACAAATAATGTATAATGCATTCGTTTCAGCTCCTTCAGCAATGTTTTCATTAATGCTGTCGTCCATCATATGCGATGCATTACATGCCGTGCCTTTCCCCGCCTCATCTCCTGTTGGGTTTTTCTCATTCTGTGCAGGAGTTTTGAAGAGATGGAGGCCCAGATTACAGCAGGTATGAAGACACCGGTGCTCAGCTCCCGGCCTGGCCCCGAGGGCTCTGCTGCAGACAAGGGCAGGAAGAGAGAAAGCGAGGTGCTCAGTCGAACACAGAGCACAGAGATGGAGGAGCAGGTAAGTCAAGTGCCTTTGTGGACATTTAATTACAGTTAATTTGTTGTGCATAAATGTAATTTACACTCATGTCTAGTCATTACCATTTAAGGGGAAACTGTCATGTTTTTTGATTTCGGAGCATTTGCACCATGCTGTTGTTTAGTCACAAGGGGGAGACAGTGCCACGCTGTAAATGCTTTGTCATTGGCTGTGACTCAGCCCTCCAAAGTGAACACCATCAGTCACAGGGATTCTTATTAAATCCTTGTCACTGATAATGAAAAGCCAGTCAGTCACACTAGGTTCCCAGCTCAGATTCAGCAAACCACCTCCCAATGCTGCCACTCAAAAAAAAATCTCAGCGCTTGCTTTGCCATGCTGTCCCCCTGCCCCCTCCTCCCTCCCCTTCTGCCTATACCTCCTGGTGCCCTTGAAGCCCCCTAGCCAGGGCCCCGTGGAGGCACTTGCGCCAGCCCTGGCCATGCCCCTGTTAGACAGGCTGTCTGAGTGTGACGACCCCCTGCAGTACCTGGAGCCTGACCTGGCTGAGACCAACCCCACAGCATTCGCCCAAAAACTGCAGGTGTGTTGAGAAACCACACAAGACCCTACTTGATAAATTTGCCGACCCATATTTGGGCCTTGATATTTGTCTCTGTGTGTGTTTTTGTACAAAACATTATTCCCCGTTGTGTCACTGTGTTACATCCTGCCTTTTCATTTTCCCATTTTTTCCTCCTCCTCCTCCATAAGTTGCAGTTTTTTTTTTTAGCTTGCTGGGTAAAATAGATTACTGGTGCATAAAATGTAGATGGCAGATCAACTCAAATTTCATGTGTTTCCCTCTTACTCTGTCATTCTTGGGCTGCAACCTCTCCTCCCTTACCACTGAAATTCGGCCCTCCCAATGTGTGCGGCCAAGGAGGAGCTGGTGCTTGCTGCCCTGAGGATAGAGGCTCTGCAGGTAGCCAAAAACATCTCTCAGTGCCCCTCCCTCTCCACTGTAACCCCCCAGGTACTGCGCTGAGTCAGCCTGCACCTGCTGTATGCAAGTGTGTGTGTGGGTGAACAAGTGTGTTTGCAAGAGCAAAAGATGCATCTTGAATGAGGGATTAGCGAAACGCAGGTGTGTGTGAAATGCACATGTGCGTGACTGTGTGTGCGTGTGTGTGTGTGTGTGTGTGTGTGTGTGTGTGTGTGAGTGTGTGTGACTGTGTGTGTGTGACTGTGTGTGACTGTGCGTGAGCATGTGTCTCTGTATGCATGACTTCCTGCTCAC